TCGAAATCCAATCGGCAACCACTAAGGGTTCACTTTGATTTTCCAAGCCAACATGGCGACTCTTCTGTTGCTGATAACGCAGGGCGCCCCACGCGCACGCGCCGCCGCTCGCGCGGCGGCGCCGCCGCGCGCGCGGCGGCGCGGGCGCGCGCGAGGGGTTGTTGTATACGCCGTTGCAAGACACGTACACCAGAACCCATGTTGACTTGGAAATCCAATCGGCAACCGCTAGTGGTCCACTTTGATTCTCCAGGCCAACATGGCGCTTCTTCTACTGCTGATAACACTGAGCGCCCCACGCCCCTGCGCCGCCGCGCGCGCGGCGGCGCAGGCGCGCGCGAGAAGTGTTTGCATGCGCCGCTGCAGAACACATGCACCAAAACCCATGTTAACTTGGAAATCAAACTGCCCACTTCCAAGGGCTCCCTTTGAATTCCCCAGTCAACGCGGCAACTGTCCGATTGCTGGCGCTGCGGCGTTTCTCGCGCGCGCGCGCCGCCGCGCGCGCGGCGGCGCAGGAACGCGCGAGGAGTTTTGCGCGCGCTGTTGCAGAAGACATGCACCAGAAACCATGTTAACTTGGAAATCCAAGTGGCAACCGCTAAGGGTTCACTTTGATTTTCCAGGCCAACATGGCGACTCTTCTATTGCCGATAACGCGAAGCTCCGCACGCGCACACGCCGCCGCGCGCGCGGCGGCGCAGGCGCGCGCGAGGAGTGTTTGTCTGCGCTGTTGTAGAACACATGCACCAAAACCCATGTTAACTTCGAAATCCAATCGGCAACCACTAAGGGTTCACTTTGATTTCCCAGGCCAACATGGCAACTTTTCTATTGCTGATAACGCGGTGCGCCCCACGCGCACGCGCCGCCGCGCGCGCGGCGGCGCGCGCGCGCGCGCGGGCGCGCGCGAGGGGTTGTTGTATACGCCGTTGCAAGACACGTACACCAGAACCCATGTTGACTTGGAAATCCAATCGGCAACCGCTAGTGGTCCACTTTGATTCTCCAGGCCAACATGGCGCTTCTTCTACTGCTGATAACACTGAGCGCCCCACGCCCCTGCGCCGCCGCGCGCGCGGCGGCGCCGCCGCGCGCGCGGCGGCGCAGGCGCGCGCGAGAAGTGGTTGCATGCGCCGTTGCTGAACACATGCGCCAGAGCCCATGCTAACTTGGAAATCTGACTGGCGACGCTGAAGGTTCACTTTGATTTTCCAAGCCAACATGGCGACTCTCCTATTGCTGACAACGCGGGCCTCTTAACTCTCTTTCGGCAGCGCAGACGCGCATGTCAAGTTTTGCGTGGCCCTCGGTAGGACGCACGCACACACGCACACACGCACGCACGCACGCGCGCACATACCCCGCTCTGATGCCCAGGGGGACGCGGTTGCGGATGGCCGCACCTTGACATCGAGACCGAAGAGCATGGAGGGTCCTGCCCGCGCCGCGGATGCGCGAGCCCTGCGGCCTACCCCATGGGCCTTAGCATAGGACCGACATCAGCGCTACGTCCTGAACGTCATCCGCACATCCAACCTCTCAGCCCTGCCGCAGCCCAGGAAGCTGCGCGTGGCTTCGCCCGCCCGCCCTAGCCTCATGCCTGCAGCCGCGCACCCTACTCTCCGAAACCTGAAGCCCACCAGCGCCAAGTTCTCCCCTAAGAACATGCGAGGGTGATTGCACTCACGCCGCCATCATCAAGGGGCACGCGGTTGCTGGAGGCCGCACCTTGACATCGAAACCGAAGAACATGGAGGGTCCTGCCCGTGCCGCGGACGCGCGAGCCCTGCGGCCCACGTGCGTGCGTAGCCTCAATCAAGCCTGCATCCGCGCGCCCTAAGCCCCGCAGCCCGAAGCCCACCAACGCCAAACAGTCCCCTAAGAACATGCGAGGGTGATTGCAATCGCACCACCATCATGAAGGGGCACGCGGTTGCTGAAGGCCGCACCGTGACTTCGGGACCGAAGAACATGGAGGGTCCCGCCCCCGCCGCGGACGCTCGTAGCCGAATCGTGAGCCCCGAACCCCAGCTTTGTCAGAACGAAGGAATAATGGCGCCAAACTGAAGAACATCGAGGATACCCTCCCCCAGGGTGCACAAGAACATGGAACAAAAACGAAGAACATAAGGGCACCCTCCCCGAAACACCGAAGTTCTTAAGCCTTGTGCTGGCCGTATGCAATACGGAATGCACAAATACCAATCGCCAAAGCGCGCGGCGGCGGCATGCCGCTGCTATTTTCTTACACAGCGGGAACCATGTTGACCTCCAAATCCCAATGGCGAACACCCAATGAAAAATTCATTCTCTGATCGGAGGATGGGAACATCGTCGCGTGGATATGCGACACTGAATGCACAAATGCCAATCGCCAACACGCGCGGCGGCGGCATGCCGCTGATAGATTCTATACAACGGGAGCGAGACTGAACTCCAAAATCCAGTGGCGAAAACCCTATGTAGAAATTCAGTCTCTGATCGGAAGACGGGAACAGCTCAATGTGGATCTCCGACACTGAATGCACAAATGCCAATCGCCAACGCGCGCGCGGCGGCGGTATACCGCTGATAGCTTTTATACCACGGGAGCGATGTTGAATTCCTAAGCCCAGAGGCGAAAACCTGATGTAACAATTCATTCTCTGATCGGAAGACGGGACCATCCCCGTCGGCATTCTCCCTGGTACCGAGGTATCTACAAGTGGCATCGATGGGCATCCATAAGATTTTCCCCAAGGGGGACAAATAAAAAAAAAGTTGTTCTGATGCGAACGAATAGTGGCAATCGGGATCCGACGGGGGGGAGGGAGGTCATCATTTTTGTACCGGTCTTGGACATTATAGGGAGCTCCACTGAAGGCCACAGCGACACCGCCCGCAATATTGATCGGCTCGCATCCCTTCGTCTGTGTCGTAGCCTTCGTCGTCCTCCTCCGCCTCCTCCTCGCCGCGGCAGAGAGATGCCCGTCCTGCTCGAGCGCCTGCTCGGGGCTGCGTGCTCGGGGGCGCGGCGACCGTGCGGCACGCGATGTGTACATTCGATGTCGACGTCCCCTGCGAATGCGTACATTACGTCTCGCTCGGGTGCTCGACCCCTTCGTCCACGTCGTCGCGCCGTCGCTGCCGTCGTCTTCGTCATCGTCGTACCCATACCGACACACCCCTCACAAATTTCGCGGCCCCATAGGGAACCCCACCAAAGGCCTCAATTGAACCGCCCGCATGCGTCCGCCACACCCATTTCGGCACAACCCTCACACGTGCGTGGCCCCATAGGAAACTCCACCGAACGCCCAAGTGCCACCGCCCGCATGCGAACGCCCGAGTTCCACCGCCCGCATGCGTCCGCCACACCAATTTCGGCTAACTCCTCACGTTTCGTTGCCCCCACCGAAGGCCCCAATGCCACCGCACGCACGCGTCCGCCACACCAATTTCGGCACACCCCTCACACGTTTCGTGGCCACCGCACGCGTCCCCCACACCAATTTCGGCACACCCCTAACACGTTTCATGGCCCCGTAGGGATCTCCACCGAAGGCCCCAGTGGCTGCGCCCGCGTGCCTCCCCCACACACAAATTTCGGCACACACCCCACACGTTTCGCGGCGCCATACGGAGTTCCACTGAAGGCCCCAGTGCCACCGCCCGCATGCCTCCCGCACACCCCTCACACGTGGCCCCATAGAGAGCTCCACCGAAGGCCCTAGTGGCTGCGCCCGCATGCCTCCCCCACCCATTTCGGCACACCACTCACGCGTTTCGTGGCCCCATATGCACCGAAAGCCCCACTGGCTGCGCCCGCATGCATCCCCCACACCCATCTCGGCACACCCCTGACACGTTTCGTAGCCTCATAGGGAGCTCCACCGAAGGCCCCAGTGGCTGCGCCCGCACGCCTCCCCCCACACCCATTTCGGCACACCCCTCACAAGCTTCGTGACCCCATAAGGAGCTCCGCCGAAGACGAGACTCACAATTACTGTATTGACAGTGGGTCCTTCGCCAGACATTTTTTTTTGAAAGCGGGGCGCTTATACATCGTTCTCCCCCTTCCCCCCCCCCTGCCCATCTCTCCTCCTCCTTTCCCCCATCACCTGCTTCCCTACTTCTCGTCGTCCTCCTCCTCCTCCTCCATCGCCAGCTGGCGGTTGTGCTCGTCCTGAAGCCCTCTTGGGCATGTGGTCCCCCCCCCTCCGCACTCCCTCCGCCCCTCCTTCTTCCTCCTCTGCCTCCTCCGGAAACCCTTCCCTCCCCCACCTGCCTCCCGCCATCTCCCCTTATATTTACCTTGGGCCCCCCCCCTCCTCCTCCTTCTCTGTGCTCGTCGCTGTCGGAAGGCAAGATGTTGTCTCGTCTTCGCAGCGCCACCCCAGTCAACATTTCGTTTCGGAACATCCCCTAGGAGTCCCTGCCGCCGGGGCCCTTGGCGGAGCTTAACGCGTGAGGGGCGTGCCGAATTGGGCGTGGGCTGCGTGGCCCTGGCTCATTAGCGAACCCTTGATGCTGGGGGCAGCTCTCTCTGTCTGTCTCTCTCTCTCTCTCTCTCTCTCTCTTTCTCCTGCTTCCTCACTCCTCTTTTCCTCCGTCGCCGGGTGGCGGTTGTGCTCGTATTGAAACCCTCTTAAATGGGCCCATATGATCCCCCCCGTCCGTCCCCCCGGTGCCCTCACTTCCCCCCTCCTTCACCCTCCCCCTCCCTCCCCCGCCTCCGTCCCTCCATCCATCTCCCCTTCTTGCCCTTGCCTCCCCCATCTTCCCCCTCTGTCCCCGTCGCGGTATGGAGGCAAGATGTTGTCTTGATCACGGCGGGCCGAGCATCCCTCGTACTCCTCCCCCTCCACCTCTATGCGGATTGGCGGGCTCTCCCTCCCTCCTCCTCCGCCGAAGGGGAGGAGGTGGCTCTAGCACCCCTCTTAACCTCGTCATCGTACTCGTCATCCTCGTCGTTGTTCACTGTCGCCGTCGCCCTCCTTTCACCCCTCCTCTGCCAGGAAGGAGGGCATCATGGAGAAAGAGAAAGCCATGTCCGACGACGGCGACATGCCGCAGCCAGCGGGGAGCTCGGGTGAGAGCGACTACGGCGACTGCGGGGGGAGCTCCGACGACCCCAGCGACGACGACGACGGCCACAAGAAACGCAACAAGGACGGGGTCCTCATAATTCGACCACCTCGCGTCTACTCCTTTCCCTATCCCACATTTCGTTGTCTACCCGCATCCTCTTCCGCTTCGCTAGGAGGCGGAAGAGAATGGGTTAGGAGGAGCAGGAGGAAGGAGAGGTGGATGAGGAGGAGGGGGCGGAAGAGGAGTATGACGAGGAGGAGGGAGGGAGGAGGAGCAGCTGCAGCAGCAGGAGCAGGACTCTTGCCCACCTCTCTCCGCGTCGCGGACTGGCGGTAGCAGGCGCCTGTCCGACATTGGTTGCGCCATAGGTTACGCGGCGGCGTCTGCGGCTGCCGTCGCGCTGCAAGGATGCAAGTGTCATGTAGCACTTGCATGCTTGCAGCGCGGGGGTGAGGAGGCGGGGGCGGGAGGAGGAGAAAGGGCTCGTGTGCGCCCCCTGGCTAGGAGAAGCGTCGCCGCGACGACTCCAGCGGAAGCGACAGCACCTCCGCCTCCAAGAGGAAGCGCAACAAGGCCAAGGATAAGGAGAAGGGCAAGAGCTCCAAACACAAGGGCTCCAAGGACATGGAGGTTTTAGAACGGGTTGAGCAGAGGGGCCATACGTGTGATGTTGGGCAAATAGAATATGCTGCCTGTCACTGGTGTGCACTCGCCAACACCCTGCTGCCTATCTCCGCTCAAGTTGTTTTTGGTCTGAAGCAGGCCTGATGGGCCCCCCGGCGGCCCTCATCAGTCACCTCCAGACCGCTGGGGTACGTGCTCTGGAACTGCTGGCGCTGCGGCAGTCGATCATCTCGGGGGTGCCGCCGTGCCCGGCAGTGTCGCTGGCGTGCCCGCTGGCGAACCTGACCTGCCCGCCGCAGGTCTGCCCGGCGCTGACGTGCGCGCCGCCGCCCTGCCCTCCTCCAGGGTGCCCGGCGCCGCTGGTCAACCTCTCCTGCCCGTCTGCAGGGGGAATCGTGGGAGCCGGCGAGTTCGACTCACCCTCGGCGTGCTGGGGGACTCTCGCTGGGATCGCGGCTGGGCTGGGGCTCGGCCGCGCCGTCCCGCGCCGCGGGCGTGCTGCTGGCGCCGAGAGAGATGATGATCGCGCACCGTCCCCTGCCCCCGCTCGCCGCGGAGGGGGAGTGGTGCGCTGACTTGGCGGTCGGCACGCTGGTCCGGGTCTCCTACGCCGGGGAGACCATGGACCACACGAGGGTCGTGCTGTGGTCCAGCCGCCGCATGGACCAGAGGCGACGAGTCCGAGGGCGACACGCCTACTGGGTGCTCTCCGCGGACGGCGACGTCTGGGAGGAGGACCTGAGCGGGAGGAATGCAGCGACTGGGCCGTCGGGCGGGTCGCTGCTGGACCAGGCGACGGGGAACCCGCCCGACGGCCGCCGCCTCTATCGGTTCCGTGCGCGGCCCAGCCTGGACGAGGTTGTGGAGCTGGCGGCGGAGTGTCGGGCCACTATGCTCAGGCGTGGGCAGGCCGAGGCGGAGGGGCCGACGAGAGTGGTGCTGGCCGACGGGGCGGTGCGCCCCGGCCACGACTACTTCCCGTGGCTGGTGGCCCCGCGCCCGTGGGTGCTGACGGAGCCGCTCCCTGGCATGCCCATCGGGACCGTGGTGGATCCGCTCCCGGTGGGGGCGCTGCGCGACGGGAGCCGGGCCCTCGGCCTGCTCCCGAGCTGCGGCCGCTGGGCGAGGCTCGAGCAGGTGGACGAGGGCCAGATCGTCGAGTGGGCTGCCAAGAGGACGAAGGAGCTGCTGCTCGACCTCGGCGCGGAGCCCGACGCCATGGGCGCCGCCGAGCCGGTCGGCGGGACTGAGACCCCTCCGCTGCGCGAGGCTCGCTCGTCTGGAGGCGACCGCCTAGGCGAGAAGCTGGGGCTGACCGCGGAGGAGCCCGCCGAGTCGGCCGCAGGGAAGGACGACGCCAGCGGCGACGCGCGCACGCTGTGGGTCGACTGGGACGAGCAGGGCGAACGCAGGAAGGAGTTCAAGCGGGCGGTGGCTGAGAGCTCGGATGTGAAGTGGGACCATCACAGGCTGCCCGCCGACCGCACTTGCCTCCACACGTGCAAGATGATGGTGAACTTGAGTGGGTCCCCGCGCGCGTGGCTGGAGCGCTTTCTCAGGGAAAAGGGGATAGCTTCTACGGATCGAGTGGCGCACGAACTCCAAGTGTTGTGCGACATCCTGGAGGAAGCAGGCGAGTTTGACCAGATCAATCTCGGAGGACTGGCCTGCTTGGAAGTGGCCGCCCTCCGGCTGAACCTGCTGGTGGACGCGCACAAGAGCGGGCCGGCCTCGTACTCGAACGCGAAGTACCTCTCGCCGCTGACCGACGTGGACCAGTTGATGGCTCCTGGCTTGCGGTCTCACGTGTCGAGGCGCGCCAAGGAGGAGTACGAGCTGATGCAGGGCGACAGGAAGGCCGAGGCGGTTGCTGCTGGGGCGGCTGGCGCGCGGGTTCCACCGCGCGAGGGGGCCGATGACTCGGCCAAGGGTGGCAAGGGCGGCGGCGGGGGCGGCCGGGGTAACAAGACCCGGGCGCGAGCCCTCGCGCCGCCCGTGCAGGCATGACGGACCAGTCTCAGCCGGCGGAGTGGGCCCCTGCCGGCTGGGCTAACACATCGGCCCGGCGAGCGCCGCTGGCCCTGGCGAGCGGGGATAGGGACCTCTTCCCCCTCCCTCGCCTGGCCAGGCCGCCCGCCAGCAGGGGCGGCAGCCGCGCCCGGATTGCTGGCGCTCGGCGGCGGCGCGAGCACGAATTGGTGAACGGCGCGATCGACTCTCTCAACTGGCTTGCTGGATGGGAGCCTGACGACGTGGGCCCGCCGCGCTCCCTGGACGCCATGGGGGGCAAGCATGCTGGGATCGTGCAGTGGGTGGCCAGCGAAGCTCTTCGGCGCCAAGCCGCAGCTCCCAGCCCCTGTCCGTCCCAAGAGGCATCGCTCAGTGCGTTGCTCAAGGGGTGCTCGATCTACGACACGTCGGGCTCCCCGAGGAACCTGGCCTCCTTCGTCCGCGAGCGCGTGTCCTTGCCCCCTTCGGTTGTCGGCTGCCTCCAGGTGGACGATATCGTGGGCGAGGCCGGCCGCACCTACCTGAAGGAGAATCAAAAGCGTATGAGGCGGCCGATCGAGGAGATCGATTTTGACAGCTTGCCGACTCCCTATTTTGACCCGCTGCTGAAGCGGAACAAGAAGATGTACCACAACTTTTTGAAGGATCTCTCGTCCCGCGGGCTCTTGCTCGCCACCTTGTCTCCCGCAGAGCAGGCTGGCCTGTTCTTCGTGAAGAAGGCCGACAGCGACAAGATGCGCATGATCGTGGATGCGCGCCGGGCGAACGCTTGGTTCGGCGTGCCCCCCAGCGTCCAGCTCCTGTCGTGCGAGGGGTTCGGCAGGGTGGAGGTGAAGCTCCCAGAGGGCGTCGCCTTCGGCTCGGCGCGGGGAGAGGAGCTGCTGAACGGCTTCAAGCTCTTCTTGGGCATGACGGACGTCAAGGACTGCTTCTACAGGATGCGCATCCCGGTGAGCCTGGCGAAGTTCTTCTCGCTGCCCGCCGCCCCGGCTCACGTCCTGGGCCTGGAGGGGCACGAGCTGGAGGGGGCGAGGCTGGGCTGCGACACCCTCGTCTTCCCCTGCATCGGGGCTCTCCCCATGGGATTCTCTTGGTCCCTTTTCCTCGCCCAAGACGCGAACGAGGAGAGGGTCGTCCGGTCTGATCCGTGGCCAGGGGGAGACACGGCAGTCTCGGAGCGGGTCCTGATGAGTGATCGCGGACCGCCGCTCGTCGTGGAGGTTGAGCCCGGGCTGCACGGGGGTGCCTACGTGTACGTCGACAACATGGGGGTGCTCGCCCCCTCGGAGGGCCTCGCCAAGAGCGCCCTCGAGAGCTGGACTGGTCTCTTCGAGGGGGTCGGCCTTGACTTGCACAAGAGCTCGGTGGGCTCGGGCGCGTGCGAGGCGCTCGGGACCAAGCTTGACCTCGAGCTGATGAGGTCGGGCGTGAGCGACGGACGGTTCTGGAAGGTGTACCTGGGACTGGGGGGCCTGCTAGCCCGCGGCCGAGCGACAGGGCGCGCCTTGGAGGTGGTGCTGGGCCACTGCACCTTCTGCGGGCTGGCCCTCCGAGGGTCTCTGAGTTGCTGGCACGCCTCGTACCGCTTCATCCAGCGGCACTACCTGGAGCCCGCCCGGCTGTGGGCAGAAGTCGTGAAGGAGATCAAGATGTTCCGCGGGCTGCTCACCCTGATGGTTCAGGACTGGTGGCGGCCATGGAACTGCTGCGTGCTCCAGACCGACGCGAGCGAGAGCGGCTGGGGCATGGCGCAGTCGTTCTGGCCGCAGCACGTGGTGGAGCAGGTTGGCCGGCTGCCTGAGCGAGCCCGTTTTCGTTCGGCGCTGGGCAGACCGGCGCGAGAGAGCGCGCTCGCTGCCGCCAACCTTGCTTGGGACAGCTCGGGCGCCCTGTGCAGTTTTGAGGACATGAAGAATCCTGACTCTCTTGCGTCTGACCCCCTGTCCTCGTGGGAGCTCGACCCCGGGTTCGCTGAAGTGCCCTGGCAGTGGCTCCGAAAGGGGGCCTGGGAGACCGTCCGGTCCGGGGTCTGGCGTTTTGCTGAGGACATCCTGATCCTTGAAGCCAGGGCCCTCGTAAAATCGATCCAGCGGCTGGCAAAGACCGCGCACGGGGTCTGTGTGCGACAGCTCTTTCTGTCCGACAATATGTCTGTGGTGCTATCCTTTTCCAGGGCTCGTTCGTCCCGCTTCAGCTTGCTGGTTCAGATCCGTCGATTCTACGCCTATGCGATTGCGTTGGGGCTTACGCCCGCTATTCGATGGATCCCCTCGGAGTTTAATGAAAGCGATGAAGGCAGCAGGGTTTTTTCTGAGAGTGACAGTAATATTCTCACATCCCTCTTGGATGAGAAGTTCCAGGCCGATCTGAATCTGCTCACCCGTCCTCCAAGAGCCGTCCCTGTGAAAGACAATACGCGGGATCCTCTCCGTAGCCGTTTTGGCCCACACCATTCTTTCTTGGCTGAGATTCCCGAGGCGCCCGACTTGCCAGAGACGGCGGGCCATGGCCCCCGAGAGGGCTCGGGTGCTGGCCGAGCCGGTGCCGCAGGCGCGGACGCCCCCCCAGCGGGCAGGCGCTCGGCGGCCGGCCGCACGGACTCGTGCGCTGGCAGGCGCGGCAGCGCAGGCGGGCTCGCGCTCGGACCCGAGCGGTGCGAGGGCGATCGCCAGCCCCGGGGCGCTGGGCCGGACGCGGGTGCTGGTGCCGGCCCCCCTCTTGCCTTCAAGGAAGAGGGCCAGCCAGGCTGGACGGCATCTCTCGGCCCTCGACGAGAGGGACGCGAACGGGCTGGACCTCGCTGGAGACGCCGGGGAGGACGCCGAGGGCGACAGCAGCTCCAGCGGCTCCGACTCGGTGGTGGAGCAGCTGGGGCGGACTCGGGCCCGAATGCGGCAGCTGCGCGCGCGGAGGGCGCACCGGCGGGCGAAGCTGTACGCCGATGCTATCCTGGCGGCGCAGGGCGAGGGCGTGAGCCTCCTGGAGACCTTGGCGGTGACCCAGGCGACGCAGGTGAGGTACCAGCGATATCTCGATCGTTTCTACTCTCGTGCCGGCCTGAGCCGGAGGGAGATCCTGGCGAAGCCGGACACGGAGATCGACGAGCTCATGTGCAATTACATGACCGAGAAATACTTGCAGGGCGAGCAGAGCAACTACGGAGACCAGACGGTCGCGGCCTGGGTCAGCGCGAACCCGGACTTCGGGCGCGTGGGAGGTCGCAAGCTGCCGCGGACCTGGCGGGCGCTGAAGGCCTGGCGCAGGCTGACTCCGGGCAGGCGGCGGAAGGCCCTTGCCCTTCCGGTCTGGTGCGGGCTGGCCTGGAGGCTGGCGCAGCGAGGACACCTACGCCTGGGCATCTTCTTGATGATAGGCGTATCGATCTATGGTCGGCCCTCGACTTTGCTGGCCGCCCGGCGGTGCGACCTCGTGCCTCCGTCCCCTGGTGTCAGCCGGCACTGGGCTCTGTTGACCCACCCGCTGGAGCGGAAGAGGCCGAGCAAGCGTGGGCACTTCGACGAGGGCTGCCCCCTGGACTCGCCGTACCTCCAGGGCTTAGACGAGGTGTTCGGGCGGCTGGCCTCGACGACGTCGAAGGAGCCGCTGTGGAACTTCAGCTACCCCGAGGCAGCGACGCTGCTCAAGGAGGCGGCAGAGGACCTCGGGGTGGCCCCAGTGACATTGTACCAGATGAGACACTCGGGCGCCAGCATCGACCTGGCGAAGGGCTGGCGCAGTCTGACCTCGGCTCAGCGACGCGGGGAGTGGACGCAGGCGAAGTCAATGCACCGCTACGAGCACAGCAGCAGGCTCGGCAGCGACTATGCAAAGCTCGACCCCCGGCTGCGCGCGACGTGCGAGGAGGCGGAGAGGCAGCTGGCGCTCATCCTGACGGACCGTCCCCACAACGTGCAGCTGTGGCGCAAGTGAGCCAGCTACACCTGGGCTACCGAGGAGGCCGCTCCCGTGGCCGCCTTCGCCGCTCGCGCCTCGGCAAGGGCCAGTACCTCGGCGATCTTTTCGCAGGCTGCCGAGCTGTGTCTCGGGCGGCCGAGGCCGAGGGCTTCCGTGCGAGAAGTTGGGACGTCATCTATGATGCAGAGTGGCAGGATTTGTTGTCGCCGGCCGTGCTGCGGGCGATCAAATCTGACGCTCGAGCTGGCCGGCTGGTGGCCGCGGCAATGGCCCCTCCATGCCAGACTTTTTCCCTCGCGCACGACAGGTCGAGGCCGGTGCGCAGCCGCGAGAAGCCATGGGGCTTCCCTGCCTCCGAGCTGACGCCTGCCGATGCCGAAGCAGTGGAATTAGGCAACCGCCTCGCTCGGGTTGCGCTTTCCCTCTTCAGATTCTTTTTGAAGCTGGGGGTTCCCGTAATCCTCGAACATCCCTTGACGAGCCGGCTGTGGCATACTGCTGAGGTGTGCGACTTATCGCACCATAGACATGTCTATCTGGCTGAACTGGACCAGTGTCAGTATGGAGCAAGATGGAAGAAGCCCACACGGCTCCTCTGTGCACACGTGAATCACGAAGATATAATTAAGCTCACCCGTCGATGCCGACCAAAAGGCTGTATATGTTCTAAGACTGGGAAACCCCATTGGCAACTCAGCGGCGGGGGGCCAGGCGGCCTCCGCCGTACCCGCATTGCTTCTGAGTACCCTCCTGGTCTGGCACGAGCAATGGTCTCTACCCTTTTAGCTAGTACTGTTGAAAAGCGAGCTTGTCACTCCCACCCTTTCTCTCCCCACCCTAGCGAACATCCTACCTGGATAGCTTCGGGATGATTTGGGAGATTGAGTTTTAAGGCATGCCTTTAAGCTCAAAGCCTCTGGCCATGACGAGTCCAGAGTTTCGCTAGATTCAGTCTCCGCAAGAAAAATGGGACCGTTGCTCTGGAGGTTTTAGAACGGGTTGAGCAGAGGGGCCATACGTGTGATGTTGGGCAAGCACAGCAAGAGGGACAGCAGCAGGGACGCCAACAAGGGCAAGCGCAAGGACGGCAAACACAAGGCCAAGAGCTCCAAGGACAAGAAGAGGAAGCGCAACCGCTCGTCTTCGTCCTCGGACCGAGGGGTCGGGTGTTGGAGCTGTGGAATGAAGAGATGAGGAGACAGGGCGGCGGGGGCGCATTTGCAAATGCGCCCCCGCCGCCCTGTCTCCTCATCTCTGCATTCCACAGTTCCAACACTAAACTTAGGTATCGATAGAACTACTAGCCTGAATAGCATCAGAATTCGGAAACTGCAGACGCACAACGCACACACGCACGCATACATCCATATGTATATATACGTGTGTGTACATATGTGTATTTAAATGTTCGTGGGGTTATTCATTGGTATATGTATAATTAGCACATGAATACACGCACATGCACAAACCATATGAACGCACACAGGCATCTCTAAACATATAAAGACATACGCTGTACGCTGTCGGTGCGAAGACACATCGCATAATACAATACAATAGCAATCGTATCATATTTTGCTGGAGCTGGCATGCGCATACCGCGGCATACCACTAACTAGTAGACATAGTTGGCGTGGACAACTGCTACCCAGCCATATCATAACACTTCGCATCATATTAGTAACCCAGCTATCCTTATCAACAGATAGTTGGTGAGTGCACCACGAAGGAAGTGGCAAAATAATTCCTACGCCACTCCCATCACCTCTCAAACGCCAGCAGAGCGCCCCAACGGCCCTCGGGATGGCGAGGCCCCAGGAAGCCTCACCGAACAGGCTCTCATGGAGCCCCTGTGCCCCGAGATCCACGAGGCCATCATCGGGCGAGGCCTGCGAGGTCGCCCCTGGGAAGCCCCTGAGAGGCCCGTTGTTTCAAACCACCCTTAGCTCGTGGGCGAGCCTCATCAGTCTGCCAAGGCCCTCGGGAGATTCTTGACCCCCAGGGCTCGGACAGCCACTCCAAGGGCAAGACCAAGCGCAAGCCCGAGGTCGTGCTGGCGCAGAACGCCCGCGTGCCCAAGCCGAAGAAGTTTGCGAAGGCGAAGGGCCAGCCGAAGCCTGCTCCGAAGCACCCGAAGGTAGCGGCGGCCATTCGCGTGCCTGGGTTCAAAGACAAGGGTGGCGAGCGTAGCAGCTCATCTTCGGAGTCTTGAGGCTCGATGGGTATGAAGAGTGTGCCAACGCTGCTCGTCGGACCTCGCCCTTTGGGGGCAACTGCGAGGCCAGCGGGCTGCAGGCCGACGCCGCAGTGAATTAGGCCGCTGGGCGAGGCGCAGCTGCATTCGGTTTCGTGGAATGCGGCAGGCTGTGCCCAACCCGTTTCCAGGGATGTGGAGCCCTGGGTCGCGCGACGAGGGCGTCGCGTGGCATAGGTGTTTTGTGCTGCCCTGGGGCCCCAGTCGCAGAGGAAAAGGAAAGAGCCTGTGACTGGATCCATCAGCAACGCAACAATTAGCGTCTTGTCGGTGTTGCTGAACTGGGGCCCCAGGGCGAGTAGCTAGCTTCTTTGCGTTCCGTTTTCTTCTACTTCCACACCCCGCGCCTCCCCTTCTCGATGATATCGGCGCCCCAGCGCAAAGATAAACGAAGTGTTCCCCTCAAGGGGGACACATCTTTTATTCTCCGCATCCCTCCTCCCTCCTCCCTCCTCCTCCTCATCCTGATCCCCCTCCTCGCGCCCTGCCTCTGGCGCAGAGACCTCGCCAGACCCATCGCAAAATCTGCTAAACCAATCCCTGCAGCCGTCGTAGCAATGTTACCGTCGTTGACGCTGCAAGCGCTCTTGCTAACCACGGATCACTGCGACGGGGGTGCACCTCGCAATTGCGGATAAGAGTGAGGGGGTGGGCTGACCAGCGCGGCGTCCGCGACCCGCCCGCGGCCCCTGTCGTGGAAGGCTCTCTGCGTGGGATCTCGGGAGCACGATTCAAGAACAAAAACGCCCCAGAGATCTTTCAATTGAACCCTGGGGCTATCCCAGGAGTCGCTTTGGCTATCTTGGGGGCCTCCTGGGCCGTCTCCAGCATTCATAAAAAACAAATGCAACATTGAGGACTCTAGGAGACTGATGGCTCTGAGGACTGAGGGCTCAATGGGACTGAGGATTAGGGGACTGAGGACTAGGGGGCTGAGGACTACTGAGAACACTGAGGGCTGTAGGGGACTGAGGACTCCAAGGACCTGAAACCTACGGGACTGGGGACTCTAGGGGATTAAGGACTTGAGGCTCTGGTACCAGTGGAACATGGTCAGAATGCAACGTCGAGATCTCTATTGGGATTGTAGACTTTAAGGGGCACGGTTCGAAGAGACACTTCGATTCTGAAAGGATGCCATCCGTAGAGGCCTCCTAGATGGGGTCCGCGTAGATGGGGTCGAAGGATACCGCCGCATCGCCGATGCATCGGCGATGCATCGTCGATGCATCGGCGATGTGTCGCCGATGCAACGTCGGCGTCGGCGCGAAGCAAATCAGGCTCCACATCGAGCCGCTTCGACGACGCATCGGTGATGCAGCGCGATCCTCCGACCCCATCTGCTCCGACCCCATCTGGGAGGTCTAGAATCCGCCAGCCATTTGCAGCGACAGCTCCTCCGGCGGGGCGCGGCCAGTAACCATGAAGCCGCCCCGCTCCCTGAAATCTTTCAGGCGGCCGCGGCCCGTGTCGCGAGTGGCCCTGCAGAGGGCGAAACTCGCTACAGCTCCAGTGGACGCGGCGACGGCCCGCATTGTTTAGAACCACCTGGCCCTGCCCACAATAACGGAGGAGGAATAGAGGGTAGGATCGGGAGGAGGAGTGGGAGGAGGGGGAGGACGGGGATTGGGAGAGGGTGGAGGGAGGGGGAACGATGAAGGAGGGAGGATGATGACGAGGAAGCCCGCAAGGTCGAGAATGGAACTATATTGAGGAAGCGCCTCGTCGGCATGTTCTTAGCTGGCGAGCTTACAGCCACGCTCTTGGTCGAGCTTTGCAGTTTGATGACCAAGGCTGGCGCGCATGGAGTGGAGGACTTTGGTAAACCGCTCGCTCATTCCAAGAACGCAGCTAAACGAGTGGCGAGATTGATCGGACTGGACATTGTTCAAGAGGAATGCCTGCAGGAGTACAGCGTCCCTCAACACGCCAGGAAAGGACAGATGTCGAGGTGGAAATCAATGGCGTTCGTTCCTTTCCACGAAGCCCTCAGTCGCAGCTTTTCCCGCCACCCGCAGGAATATCTCAAACACCTTGGAGACCCCGATAGTCTAGCAGGAAGTTTTCACAATCACCCGAGTGTTCGACGCTATGGGGCACAGAGGTGCATCCCGCTCCGCATGTTCGTAGATGGAGCTAAGCTGGACGAGCAAGCATCGCAGTTAAACATGACTGTGGCTTCGCAGCTCCGCCTGCCGCTTCGGTTGTCAATGAATCTCGGACGTGGTTCATTCCCTACCTAGGCTCTGCCTAGAAGGGTTCTTACTCTCTTGCTTTAAGGTGCCAGGCAGTGCACACCGCCCCAGGCGGTTCCCCCAGTATCCGCCCCGCGGTTCCCCCAGTTACGTCCCCTTAGCTTAGCGGTGCTTATCTCATCTTAGCTAAGCGTATTTCATCTAAGCTTAGCTTAGCTTCATCTTAACTCAGGTTTAGATTAGCTTAGCTTACCTTCATCTTAGCTTCGCTGAGCTTTAGCATAGCATAGCATAACAGAGTACATCATAGCATAGCATATCATAACATGGCGCAACTTAGCATAACATAGCATATCATAGTGTAGCATAGCACAGCGCAGCATGACATAGCATAGCATAGCATAGCATAACATAGCTTAGCATATTATAGCATAGCATAGCGCAGCATAGCATAACATCGCATAGCATAGCATACCGCAGCATAGCATGGCATGGTATAGAATAGCAACTAATGCGGCTTTCCTAGGGGCTCCAACTTCTAGGTAGGGTCGCACTGGGGAAATATTTCGTTTGAGCGAATTGAAACAAGCAAAGCAAAGCAAGCATAGTATATGCAGTGGTCAAGCAAACATAGTAGATGCAATGATGATGGGGCGAAGCAACATCGAGTGAAATGGGACTACGTACATAATGCCGAAATACAGAACACGGAGCATACCGAATCTAATATATGATATGGGGAGGGGGAACTATTTGGAGTTAGCGCGGGCGCCAGCCCGACGACAACGACGAAGACGACGACGACGACGACCGACGCCCAGGTTGGCACCCCTGCGGTGCGCGGATTTTTGTTTCTTGCGTCCACCGCAGTAGGCGGGTACCTTTCGCTGCGGTGCACACCAGAAGTTTCTGCAAGTGCGGATGCAGGGGGACTCACACCCTGCAGCGCGTGTGGGAGATAGGTGCACATTTCTTTCGAATTAGCTTAGATGGGTACTGTCCAGCGCATAGTTTTTCGGGTTCGCCGTGGGACGTGACGAGTGCTCGAGGGAAGCTCGCCGGGAAGCCCCTGTTTGAACACAATGGTGTTCATTATCATGGCGTTCTTATTGAGATTTCCTGTGATTTAGATGAGTATGCCAAATCTTTGGGCTTACCGCACTACGGTGCAAAGTACCCGTGCATCAGATGTTTCAGGCCTCTGCAGTCCTTGGGTGACCTGTCCGTGGAGTCCAGGAAACGATCTCACCAATGGGTTGCCGATTCCGCTGAATCAAGTCTGTCATTCTACGATATCGATGACGCACGCGTTCAACGCTTGCTGGATGTCATCGAAGGCAACAGGAGACTCGGTGGCCAGGTCGTGAAAAAAGCACGTTTGCTTCAAGATATCTTTCCAGGGATTCAAAATTACGATCGGATCGAACCTGCAGTAATGGGGTTTCCAAGCGTGGTACATGGCGACCGTTGTTCAGATTACCCACCAGAGCGGCGGAAAATACTTGTCTATCGGCGGGCACCCGGCCTCTTGCTGTTTTTCGCCAGGCTTCTCCCGGTTGCAGGCGTGAGTGAGGGCGTGCCGCATTTAACAATGAGCATGTTCATTTTCGACTCTATGCACGTGCTGGAGCTCGGGCTTCTACACAACCTGTTGGGTTATATACTAACGAACCTCATCCAGAACAATTTCTTCGGCCAGTTGCGGGAGAAAAACAATGACCCTATAGATGCAACCTTGACGGACAATTTGAAAAATTGGTATCGGCGCCGCGGTCAGATGGGCCGAAATTTGCCCCTTGGATTCCAACCGAAAACCACTGACAAAAGGTTCGGGGATGCTGGGCAAACGGGAACAGGGGGGATGGAGGAAGGGCAGGACTAGGATGAGGGGGGCAGGAATAGGATGAGAAGCTTGAGGTTCGCGGTTGGAATCTGGGGCGCAATGGTCGGGCCATCCCTCCCAGGTATTGAGCAGAGTTTGCGTCTTACGAACATCACTGTCCACATGTGCGGGAGTCCAAAGGAACCGTGTATGGCCAGGATCAAGGCAGCAAAAACTAAGGTGTTGTTGGGGTGGGTGACAGATATCATGAACCTTCAAGGTGGGGCCGCCCTACTGAATGAAAACGCGGATATAGACAACATGGGGTCTGATCTACTCACTTGTTGTGAGAAAATGACTGAGTTCTATGCTGTCTTAGCAGGCGAGGCTAGAGTCGTCAGCGCAGATGCTTATCCTCAGTTAGACGCATGCGTCAGCGATTTTGCAGAAGCTTGGGTCGCAGCTGGCGGCGCAACGACAACGAAGTTTCACATTTTCGAATCCCACCTTGTTCAGCAGATGCGGGAATTCGGAAATTGCCTACATACGCACAACTATTTAGATGAAAGCGAACAATTCGCAAGTAAAAAGCGGAGCAAGTTTATCAACCGTGGCCAGACCTACGGAAAAACACATTTAAGCAAATGGTATGCTGAGTTCATGGCGGCTGATTATTACTGAGCGGAGTGTGGGCGTACTGAACATATCGAAGAAACGATTGATACGGATGATAGGCAAGAGTAGTTAGAGGAGGGGGGAAGGAGGAAGGAGGGGGAGGAGGAGGAAGAGGAGGAGGAGGAGGAGGAGGACAATGAGGCGGAAGACGACGACTACAATCGACCTCCACGTCGTGCAAGAACTGTTTGGGAATGGCGCGCGCGGCCGCTTCGCTACCGCCGCTCCGGCGGCCCCGCCGCCACCGCCGCCCCGCCGCCGAGGGGGGCCGACCCGCTCCGCGCGGGAGGAGGAGGAGGAGCAGGAGGAGGAGGAGGAGGAGGAAGGGAAATTAAAGGACGGAAGGAAAGGAGGGGAGGAAGGAGCGAGGGAAAAAAACAGGGAGGGAATAGGAGGGGGTAAAAAAGTAAGGAGGGGAGGAAACGTGACACAAACAACGAAACAAAAGGATAATGGAAAGGGTGAGGTGGGAAGAGGGAGGCCTGGTTTGTCTCGCAGCCTTCAACAGGCCTCACGAGACCTCTGGAGGCTTTCTGAGACCTTTTCTTTCTCCAGCCGATGCTCCTTCCTAGTCCTAATCCTCCCCTCATTCAGCGAGGAGGCTCTCGTGCTGGCCCTCGAAAGGGTGCGCCTCCTTTTGCTCGGGCGCGGGGGGGATCGAACCCCCTCGGCGCCGCGCGGGCGCGAGCCTGCGCGCCAGGGCCCGTCGACTGGGCCGCTTCATTCGCACCCTTCGCACCCTTTGCCCCCTCCTCCGCCTACTCCTCTTCCACTTCCTCCTCCTTCCTCCTCCTCCTCCTCCTCCTTCTCCTCCTCCTCCTCCTCCTCATTCTCCTCCGCTCCTCCTCTTGCTCCTCCTCCTGCTCCTCCTCCTCCTCCTCGTCCTCGTCCTCCTCCTCCACCTCCTCCTCCTCCTGGTTGACTTTTTCACATGGTCATGCTCGTACTCAAACTCTTCCTCCTCCTCCTCCTCCTCCTATTCCTCCTCAATGCTACTCCTCAGATTATTCCTCAGATTACTCCTCATATCATTCCTCATAGTCCTCCTCCTCCTCCTCCAACTATTCCTTCTCCTATTCATCCTCCGTTTCCTCCTCCTATTCCTCCTTCTATTCCTCCTCCTATTCCTCCTCCTGTTCCTCCTCATAGTCCTCATCTTATTCCGTATCAGTTTCCTCCTCCTATTCCTCTTACTACTATAGCCTCGCGTTCCTCCTCATATGCTTCCTCCAATTGCTCGTCCTACCTGTCCTCCTATTCCTCCGACTATTCCTCCTAATATTCCTCGTATTATTCCTCGTATTCCTCCTCCTATTCCTCCTCCTAGTCCGCCTCATATTCCTCCTCCTAGTCCTCCTCCTATGCCCCCTTATATTCCCCCTCCTTGGTACTTGCCCTGCCTATCCCCCCCTCCAATTCCTCCCTCCTGTTCCTATTCCTCCGTCCTATTCCTCTTCCGATTCCTCCTCATATTCCTCATCATACCCATCCTATTCCTCACCCTGTTCCTCCTATTATTCATCTTGATCCTCCTCTTATTTCTCCTCATATTCCTCTTGCTGTGTCCTCCGTCTATTCATAATCCTCCTCCTGTATGTCCTCATACTCCCCATGCTATTCCTCATCCTATTCCCTATTCGTAGTCCTCCTCGATCCTCCGCCTATAGTCCTCCTCCGATTCCTCTTCCTAGTCCTCCTCCTAGTCCTCCTCTCGTTCCTTCTCCTATTACTTCTCATGCTCCTCCTCACGTTCCTCATCCTATTCCTCCTCTCCTCCTATTCCCCTCATGTTCCTCCTCCTATTCCTCCTCCTATGTTCCTCCTCCATTTTTTCTCCTATTCCTCCTCCTGGTTCTGCCCTTATTATTCCTCCTCCGATTCGTTCTCAGATTCCTCTTCCTATTCCTCCTCATGTTCCATCCTCCTATTCCTCCTCCTAGTCGGCCTCCTAGTCGTCATCCTAGTCCTCCTCGTTTTTCTTGTCCTATTCCTCTCCTATCGCATTCCTCCTCTCATTCCTCCTACTCTTCCTTCTGTTCATCCTCCCATTCATCATCCTATACCCCCCCCTCGTGTTCCTCCTCCTATTCCTCATACCTCATGCTGATGTTTCCTACTCCTCCTTATTATTTTCTATTCTAACCAAGTGTTGCATATAATATGTTTGATTATCATCCGGGCTGTGTACAGCGGGAGCAGCACTGCCTTGAGGGAGCCCTCCCAACGCTAGGACAGCCTACGTATATTCGGCCTGCACATATACGATTCATCTTCCTCTTCGGCCGCATCTTCAAATATTCATCACCAACTTAACGAAACCTATGAGATCTCATGTATCTATCCGAAACCCATACAAATCATGAATAACCCTCATGCTAAAACGCTGAAAAACCAACCTTCCACACCTTCTACATGGAAGATACGGAGGACGCAGGTCGAGGGCGAGGGGGCGTTTCTCCCCCTCGACCCCCCAGCCGCTGCTGCCTCGGACCAAGGCTGGTGCGGCAGGGCCAGGCGCCGCTGGGCCGCCCGGGAAGCCTGCCGATGTTGGCGCGGGCGCGGCCGCCCGCGGCGCCGCCGCGCACCCCGACGGCCTCGGCGACGCTGACCCGGTCTACGTTCAGGCCTCCGGGGACGTCGAGGCCGCCAGCCGCCGTGCGCGTCGCCGGGCCGCCGCTGCCCTCGGGCCCGGGCGCGCCCGCTCGGCGCGCGGCGGCTCAGGCGAGGGGCCCGCGGCGGCGTCCTGCCGCGGCGAGCCCGCCAGCCAAGAGGCGGCGTCGGGTGGCGGCGACTGCGGCGGCGGCTGCGCGCCGGCGCTCCGCTGCCGTGCTGCTGCCGGGCCTGAGCGTGCTGGAGACGGGGTCGATCACGGCGGCGACGCGGGCGCAGTACGTGGAGGCCTTCGACGGCTTCCAGGCTTGGATGGCACGGCGGGGCGTGCAGCCCACGACGCTGGACGACTACGACGAGCAGCTGGTCCTCCGCCTGGACGAGCTCTACCTGGACGGCGAGGGGATCGGGGCCGGGCAGAAGCTCTTCGCGTCGGTGCTCTTCTTCCTGGGGCTGACGAAGGCGGCGGGCTCGCCGATGGCACGAGCGCGGCGGGCGCTGCGCGGGTTCCGTCGGTTGGCGCCGCCTACCTCGCGGCTCCCACTCCCCTTCGAGCTGCTGGGCGCGCTGGTGAACCACCTCGTGAGCGTCTCGAAGCTCGAGGCGGCGCTCGTGCTGTGGCTGAGCTTCGAGCTGTACCTGCGCCCAAGCGAGCCGTACCACATCCGGGCCACCGACTTGGTTCGCCCGGCTCGCGGCCGCCTGGGGCACGACAGCTGGAGCGTGACTCTGCACGCCGCCGAGACGGAGGTGCTCTCGAAGACCGCCGAGTACGACGAGGCGCTGAAGCTGGACCTGCCGCGGCAGGAGCTGCTGGGCCCGACGCTGGAGGCCTCAGTGGCCGCGCGGCTCGGCCCCGACTGGCGGAGGCTTCGCCCCGCGGCAGCGCGCGGCGCCGCCGCGGGCGGCCGCGCGAGCGGCGCGGCCCCGGAGCCTCTGCTGTTCGTGATCACGCAGCGCGAGGTCTCGAGCGCCCTCTCGGCCGCCGCCAGGGCCCTCGGGATCGAGAAGTTCCTGCCCGGCCTGCACCCTTACATGCTCAGGCACGGGGGCGCGTCTCTCGACTACGGCAGCAAGGCCAGGTCCCTCGTCGACGTCCAGCGCAGAGGCCGGTGGCAGTCGTGGCATTCGGTCCGCCGATACGAGAAAGGCGCTCGCCTGTCGCAGGTGCTGCAGATGGTGCCCGCTGCGATGCAGGACCACGCAGCGCGGTGCGCCGACTCGCTCGGCGCGATCGTGTCTGGCCAGCGCTGCCCATTTACGCCTCCCTGAAGACCCGCTTCTTCCTGGAGGTGTTCAGCGGGTCCGGGCGCCTGGGACGGGCGATCGCCGCTGAAGGGCTGCCCGTCCTGCTTTGGGACATCTGCCTGGGCCCCGAGTATGACCTGCTGAGGCCGCAGAAGCGTGGGCTGATTCGGTCCTGGGTTCGAAGCGGCCTCGTGATTGGCATCCACCTCGGGACGCCCTGCAACACGTGGAGCCGCGCGCGGGACATCCCGCCCGGACCGATGCCGCTGCGGAGTGACTCCTTCCCTCTTGGCCTTCCCGACTTGAGCGTCAAAGATCAGGCCAAAGTTGATGCCGGCAACGTTTTCATGATTTTCAGTGCTGGCCTCATGCACGAGGCCATCAGGGCCAACATCCCAGCTAGTAATGAGAATCCTCAGACGAGCCGACTTTGGCTCGCCCCTCCTTTCGTCCGCCTGCTGCGCTCGTCGGCCGTCACTTTCACTGTCACGCATTTCTGTCAGTGGGGAGCGCCGTGGCGAAAAGCCACGGCTTTCGCCACAGTCAACCTCGATATGAGTCGCATCGGTCGTGCGCTGTGCAAGTCTTCCAAGAGAGGAGTTTGTTCCCGCACTGGCCTGCCGCACGCCCAGCTGCATGGAAAAAACGTGGAGCGCGTCTTTAAAACCAAGCTGGCCGAGGCTTACCCTCAGCGGCTGTGCAACGCCCTCGCCCAAGCCTATAGTAATGCCGTAATATCTCACAGGACTCGTGTTTTTGAGCGGCTGGTCTTACCAGCCAGTTGACATCTTTGGATCGAGTTTCGGGAGTGCATGCAGTGTGTTTCGTCTCATCTGTTGCGTCTCCGGCTTGAGAGTGTGGCCGCCTCTGCAGAGCATCAGATTCGTCCCACACCACGCCTTGCTGGCCATGGAGAAAGAGCAAGGCCCAGAGATGCGTTGTACTTGTACGGAAATCTCGGCACGCGTTTCGGTGAAGGCCGCTCGTCCTGAGGTCCTCGTTTGCCTCTGGTCTCATCCGTCAACACGGTGGCTCAAAGCAACCAACCGTCCAGCCCCGACCACCGCCCTGTTTTTGTTTCTCATCCTCTCGGCTGCCTGAAGGGCCGCTTTCGATCAGGAGTGCATGCAGTGTGTTTCGTCTCATCTGTTGCGTCTCCGGCTTGAGAGTGTGGCCGCCTCTGCAGAGCATCAGATTCGTCCCACACCACGCCTTGCTGGCCATGGAGAAAGAGCAAGGCCCAGAGATACATATATATATATATATATACATATATATGTATTCTTTTTATCAAAAACCAAAGAAACATAGATTGGAGACTTGTTGTTGCTTGTCGATTCTTCCTCCAAGAAGTCCGCCCGCAGGAGGACATGCCCGACCAAACCCTGGTCCTGCACCCGACCCTCCGAGGAGGGCCCCTCCCCCCAGGGATCGAGGAACCCTCCTCAGCCCCCCCCCGAAAGAGAGGGAGCGGGTGTCCCGAGAGGCCGCGGCCCTCCCCTCGCCGCCACGGGGCCAGATCGCCACGCGGCTTAGGTCGGGCGCGTCCCCCTACAGGGGGATGCTGGACGATGAATAAAACATACCCCGGAAATCTTCAAAAATGGTCAAGAGATGCTCAAACAATAACCCCAGGACTATTATTCATAGTATTTTGGACGACGAATAAAGACCACTCCAAGAATATGCCAAAATGGCTAAACGATGCTCAAACATGGCCCCCAGACTGCTATTTTAAAATATGTTTGAAGATTCCCCCCGTCAAGGGACAGGCTCGGCTTGACACGAGATCCACGCCCTCGTGCGTGCGCCTCCAGGGGAGACCCGGGGAGCAGCGTTCCGCCCCGCGCAGAAGGGGGGGGGGCGGGGGGAGGAGGAGGAGGAGGAGGAGGAGGAGGAGGAGGAGGAGGAGGAGGAGGAGGAGGAGAGGAGGAGGAGGAGGAGGAGGCAGGAGGAGGAGGAGGGAGGAGGGGGAGGAGGAGGAGGAGGAGGAGGAGGAGGAGGAGGAGGAGGAGGAGGAGAGAGGAGGAGGAGGAGGAGGAGGAGGAGGAGAGGAGGAGGAGGAAGGAGGAGGAGGAGGAGGAGGAGGAAGGAGGAGGAGGAGGAGGAGGAGGAGGAGGAGGAGGAGGAGGAGGAGGAGGAGGAGGAGGAGGAAGGAGGAGGAGGAAGGGGGGAGGAGGAGGAGGAGGAGGAGGAGAAGAAGGGGGAGGGGGAGGAGATGGAGGAGGAGAGGAGGGAGGAGGAGGAGGAGGAGGAGGAGGAGGGAGAGCTGCTTAGAAGCACCCCTGCTTTTCAGAAGGCGCCTTCTAAGAAGCAGCCTCCTAGAAGCCCCCCCCCCTCCCTCCCCCCCTTGTGCGCGCCGCCCAGAATGAGCAGCTCCAGGAGAGGTCCGGGGAGCAGCGTGTCCGGTAGATTCTGTGTCCCGCCTCCTCTTCCGCATCTTCCCTCTTGCGTTAGGTCGGGCATGTGCTCCTACAGGCGGATTTTGGGGGAAAAGTCGAACATGGCCCAAACATGCCCAAGCATGATCAAAGATCGTCGAAACATCGTCCCCATATTGTTTATGGACTATTTTTGAATATTCCTCCTGTAGAGGGACGTGCCCGACTGAACTCTTGCGTGGGGCCTCATTGGCGTCGGCGTAAAGCCCGCTCGCGCCCGATCGGCCTGGGCCGTGTCCGCGCCCGCGGAACCCGGACGGGGGTGGCCTCGCTCGCCGAGGCAGTAAAACGATGCCGCTACCGCTACTCTTATGTCGGGAACTCCCTCTGCAGGAGGAATATGTTTGAAGAAGAACAACCGCATAAACAACATGAAATTCTAGACGCTTCGCGTAACCCCACCAGTTTGTTATGTCACTTAGTTGCTTCCTGGTACACGCCCTGTCATCTTCGGTTAGTGTCTCGCGCCGAGGTCGGGAACAGGTGTACCTTCCGCACTGCGTCACATCATGTCGTTGATCTTTCGCGTGCGAACGCATCTTTCCGCAGTTGGTTTGAGGGTCGACGTGCATTGTTGTCACTGACTTCAGTCGTGCCTTTACAGCCGCGTTGATGCGTACTTTGAAGTAGCGACGGTTCGCTGGCGCCGTCAGAGTCCCTTCTTCCTGCAGGATGGCTGCGTCAGCTCTCTCGCCTACGGTGTCGCTCACACCCGGCAGACTCCCTGGGCTCTCTGACATTCTTGCACGGAGTCAAGTCAAGATCCCCACTGCCTTGTGGTCGTCGGGCCGGACACGACCCTTGACTGGGGGCGTGCATCGCGCCATTGTGGCAGCGTCTCTCCTGCTCCCTGGGTGCCTGTTTCCCCTTAGACTCCCTGGGCTGCAGCTTGCACCGCCGCCTGATCCGCGGCCCCCGCGCGCGCCTGGATAATCTGTTACGGCCGCAGCCCGACCGTGACCTGCCGCCGCCGGCGCTTCCGCCTGCGTTTTTTTGTTTCTTATATATATATATATATATATATATATATATATATATATATATATGTACATCTATATATATATACATATATATATATAAACGAATAAAACAAATAACCCCACCAGCCCATCCAGAAACGATGCCCAGAGGAATTGCCTCGATCAGGGAGGTGGGCAGCACACAGAGGAAGGGTCCCCCGGTGGAGGCCTCTTGGAGCGTCTTGGGTGTCTCGGAGAGCTTATTGGGGCCTCTTGCGGATCGAGCATCTTGGAGGCCTCTTGGGCGCCTGTTGGGGCCTCCTGGGCGCCTCTTGGGGCCCTATTGAAGCGCTCTTGGGAGCCTTGGGAGCGCTTTTGGGGCCATCTTGGGGGACATAGATCAAACAAGAAGCGAGCATTAGTTAGCGTTGCCCCTCGGGAGGCTGAACAATCGCCTCTTGGGGCGCTCTTGGAGCGCTCTTAGGCGCTCTTGGGGCCGCCTTGGGGCTCTCTGGAGCCTTTCTTGAAGCCCTCTTGGGCCATCTTGGAGCCATCTTGAGGCCTCGGATGGCCATCGGAAGCGAACAGGCGAGAAAGCCAACCACATAGAATTTCCACAGGTGCTGGCCTCTTTGGTGCCTCCTGGGGGAGCTCTTTGGCCACTGGGAGCCGTCTTGGAGCGGTCTTGGGGCATCTTGGAGCATCGTGGGAGCCACTATGATACAATATCTTGAGCCATCTTGGAGGTTATCTTGGGCTCTCCCAGGCGCTCCTGGAGTCATCTTAATCAGTGCCCCCCCCCCCAAGAGGCCAACATGTGGCTAAAACCTTAGTAGAATCAATGATTTGGCATTCTCGCCGAGGCCTCTTGGAGCATCTTGGGTGCCTCTGGGGGGTCTCTTGGAGCCTCTTGGGGGTCTCTTGGGAGCCTCTTGGGGGCATCCTGGGGGCCTCTTTGGGCTTCCTGGCTACCTCTTGGGGCACCCTTTGGAGCCTGGGGGGCCATCTTTGGGCCATCTTGGGTAAGATCGATCACAGCAGGGGGGGCACTAATTAGGGTCCCTCCCTCAGGGGGCAACAATGGGGCCGACACCATAATAAAACCAATGAATTTGTTTTCTTCGCCGATGCCGTTTTGGACGCTCCGACACCTCGCGAAACCCTTTGTCCAGGTCCATGGGGAGGGGGTAGGGGGAGGGGTGAAGACCCCCCCCCCGCCCGCAAGCCGTCTCGCTCACTCCCACCCGCCCTCCCAACACATACGTAGCACCCGAGTCTGGCCCGAGCCTCAGCATATTCAGCAGTCGTCTTTGGATGGGTAGCTACTGGGGGCCAAGCCGCCGCCGCCGGCACCGCCGCCTCCGCCGCCGCCGCCGCCGCCGCCGCCGCCGCCGCCGCCGCCGCCGCCGCTGCAGCCGCCGCAGCCGCCGCCGCCGCCGCCGCAGCCGCCGCAGCCGCCGCCGCCGCCGCCGCAGCCGCCGCCGCCGCCGCAGCAGCCGCCGCCTCCGCCAAGTGTACCTTGTATTGTTGTTTGACAGGGATGGTGGGGGGAGCGCATCGGGTTGGCTGCGCACGTTCCGAATTTGGAGGCAGAGTGTGTGTTTGTATCGTTTTTTACAAGGGTTTTTTTTGGGGGGGTCGTCATGGACCTGGGTTGGCCCCCAGTCACCTGGGGGAGGGGGTGTTTATTAATCTGGAACAATGATAAAAACCTCCCCGAAGGGGAAGGAGGAGGAGGAGTGGAAGAGGAAACTCCCTAAACCACCGACGCCCAGAGGGCTGGTGGGATTTTGGCGCTACGCGCGGATTTCTTGGATCCGCGCCTGGGCCCCCTCGGAAGCGCCTCCAGCGCCGCCCCTGGCGCACTGCGCGCGCCATGGAGGGGGGTCCAGCGCGAGTCCGCGCGGAGCGCCAACAGTTTTTTGTTGTTGGTCCATCTCCTATGTTCAAACTATCCCGGCAAAACAACCTAACAGCGATGTGTAGACGCATATCTGGAAGCATTCCCCTTAAGATTCAGATGAGAATCCAGTTGTAGAATGCTGCTATTCTCGCAGTCGTAGTCGTATTCGCGATGACAGTCGCAATGGCAACGGCAGTCGCAGTCACAGCCTCAGCCTCAGCCTGCCTCAGCCTCAGCCTCAGCCTGCTTCAGCCTCAGCCTGCTTCAGCCTCAGCCTCAGCCTGCTTCAGCCTTAGCCTCAGTCTGCCTTCAGCCTCGGCCTCAGCCTCAGCCTGCCTCAGCCTCAGCCTGCATCAGCCTCGGCCTCAGCCTCAGCCTGCCTCAGCATCAGCCTGCCTCAGCCTCAGCCTCAGCCTGCCTCAGCCTCAGCCTCAGCCTGCTT